TATTATTTTTATTCAAGCACTTTATCAAAAGTAAGAATGTTAGAAATGTTTCTTCAGCACTAACCACTGCTGCCCAATCTGGAATATATGATTCAAAAATATTATAATTTTTTTTTCTCCTTCATTAATTTGGAAATAGTTAGTCTTTGTAATAAAAAGAGCAACTTAAATATTTGTCTTGTGACATTATAATCGAAACATAGGTAACAGGTCTCGAGGTTATTATAGGAATAAACACTTGCACGTGTATTAGAACTCACCAATGCCAGTGACATGCAAGTCTGCCTCTCTTTCTTCCACTCCTAGTCTATTTTCTACTGTGCAAACATATGTTCCTTCATCTTCTAAGCCAACATCTAAACAAAAAGAGAATGGATAATCTCCTCTAAACTTTATCTCTTGTAAAATTATTGCTTATTAAACAACATACAATTTTATTAATATTAATTTCTGGAGAAAAGTTATCTTATCAATGAACAGAACCTACGATGTATGAGAAGATTCCCGACCGGCGTTATAGTAAACTTTGAATCATCTGTCAGACTAGCACCTCCTTTTTTCCTCCATCTTGTCTCTGGCTTCGGATGACCAGTAGCAACACAAGAGATACTACCATTTTTTTCTATGTCAATATTTGTATCAATTGGTGGCTGAACAATAAGAGGAGGGGCTGAAAATAATAATTTAAATGTTTCACTTCAAAGCAACAATTCTCTGGTTTGTAATACAATGCTATTTGTTAGCCATACATATGCTACATTAAATAACGTTTTAAGGTCTTTGACAAACATAAATTTACCGTATTTAAACTTATACAGCGAACAGTATTAAATCTATCAACTACTACGAAGTAAATAAAATATTAAACTGACATAAGCAAGGGTAAAGATTTTAGTTTACCTCAAGAATATAAGTTTTAATTACAAATTTTTTCTCTTCTCTCATTTTTCCCCAAAAAAGCGCTATCAATTAGAAAGTACAATAATGATAAAAAGATAAATCCGATCCATGTGAAACACGAAAGTGAAGAAAATCGTTATAGTTTTCCTATACAAATTTGAAGTTCCTCAGGGACCAGTTGTAAATTGAAGAACTAAATATATGAAACCAGTTTCAATGATCCTAATTTCTGTAAGATAATCATTTTATCGATAATGTATCAGTGGTTTAGTGTTAGTTTTTATAGTGATGGAGCAGGCGTGCGACATCTTCATTAGGGTAAAGATCTCTTGTGTAAAACTTAATTTCCATTTATGTAAGCACCAATTATTTGAGACTACTTACATTAGTAGTAAATTGTAAACGAATATATTACCGAGAAAAAACACATAACTTACTTTAAGTTAAGCAGCGGGAGAGGGACAACGGGGACCATATTAAAATCACTAACATTAAAACAAGTTTTAAAATTATATATCTTATTATTTTACTATATTTCTAACTGTACTAAAGCAACATTGACTTCTTTAAGGTTTTGTACACCTCTCCAACAATAAATGCCTAAAAAACAACCTTCGTTGTATATTATGTAAATAATAAACACTTTTAAAATGTGCACGTTTTAAAAACATAGTATAATTGTAAAGTGTATTTAATCAAGTATCTCGAAAACCATGCTCGTGTTTCTTGATAACTAGTTGACATTTTAACCGGGGTATCACAAACAGCCTGAGTGCTCTCTGACAGTTTGATTATGAAAGACACTTAATTTCGGGTTAAAACTGGATAACTTATATTTTATTTACATATTTTTAGTTTCTGAAGTGTCGACTCTCAGCTCCAACTCCCGATTCAACAACCCTGTACTACATACGTTCCAATGTTAGTAGTGTAATACGATGTATTATAGACGAATACACGTGTATTGTTGGTTTTATCTTATAAAATAAATCACCTCTACAGAGAGACGTACTTATAAGGTAAGTTATATTTTTATAACAGGATTGCTAACTGTTCCTTACTCATTAGTAATATACAATGTTGCGTTTTAAGTGAGAATAGAACGAAATTTGTTAGTTATTTTGAATAAAATGTTTTTAAAACCTTACTTTCTGACTAGACGAAAATACTAAAACCAGTAAAAGTGTTACTTATTTTATTTTTAGAGCTGTTCGGGTGCCAACTCTTCTTACAGCATAATCAAAACTAAAAAGTTGGACAATAATCTGAAAAAATTAAGACTCACATCCGACATCAAGAGTTACAGCATCTTGAGTTGTTCCTGCTTCGTTCTTTGCCACACAGGTATACTCTCCAGCGTCTGAGTCTTCGCTGCCAAGAATTGTTAGCGTTCCGTCATTTGAAATCTGTATGTATGACAGGGGCAAAATCTGTGTCGGACCATGGTACCATGAGACTCTAGGATGGGGCACTCCCGTCACCACACATTTTAACTCTGCCATATCTCCCGTGGCCACTAACAAGTTCTTTCTAGGGATACTAATGGTCGGTGCCTCTGAAAGATTTATTATTATTATCATTACTTATATTTCTGGGGATACTGATGGTCGGTGCCTCTGAAATATTTATTGTTATTATTATTACTTATATTTCTGGGGATACTGATGGTCGGTGCCTCTGAAAGATTTATTATTATTATCATTACTTATATTTCTGGGGATACTGATGGTCGGTGCCTCTGAAAGGTTTATTGTTATTAT